AGACAAAGTTAAAAGGCATCGCAGGGTGGACCAGAGAAGGTGCCCCCGCCGCCTCTAGTTTATGACTCGTGTTGCGACGGTCGCGCACCACGGCCGCCGCTGTACCGCGGCTCCGGCCGCGCGCAACTTGGCGATCAGGTGACGCCTGCTGCAACTTCAAGCTGTAGCTTGGCGCACGCAATGGACTCTGGAGATTGGCCTTGGCAACATTTGCCATGATTTGGATGTGATTTGGCATGACCCAGTGCATCGCAATTCGCAGTGGCGCTGAATCAACGATCAAGGATCAGGGTGTACTGCCCTAGACTTGTAGGGCACCTCATGAACCTCTCATGAAAGTTTCTGCTGTTCCTTGTATGTAGAAAGCTGAAATGCGGAGGCAAAATGCGGTGCGCATGGGGGAGGAGTTTCCATCCACGTAATGCTGTGCGTATGTTAGTGACGGGAGATGCCGCTTAGTCATATGCCCAGTCAGTCTAGGTCAAACGTTGTCTAACTTGCTGCATCTTAAGGAGGACACCGCTGCTGCAAAGTGCTGGAATCGCAAAAGACCTGTCCGATCCATGCAAGCCGGGATGAGTGTGTAAGTGACAACGAAGGTCCTAGTTTACTCGTAGGCTTCAGCTTCACTTGTCACCGAGATCGACTTGCGGGCGCAAATATGGACTCAAACCTTTTGCAAGAGGTTTGCAACTGCAGCTGCAGCTCCGAGCGACACCCGGGGATACATGACCCGGAGTTCTGGATGTACGTTGGTAGGTCCTCTTTCACTTTCCAAAATTGATGTCAGTTGTCTTGCATTTACTTGAAGCTTGCTTGGAGGGCAACCACAGGCTTGTTCACTACTTTTCCTCATCCACACGGCACGATTCAAGCTTTCCAGCCACCAAGAAGGATCCGCGCACCTTGCATTGTCCCAAAAGGTGGACTTTGTGCTGGTCCTAATCGGTGGCAACTTCCTGGTCCTGTCTGCTCCTCCTGAGAGATTCGCATATGCTGAATTACGCACAAACGTCTCTTTTGTCCAACACGAACACGCTTAGATTGGAGCAGTGATTCATGTGTCGGTGCTTTGCAGGGATTATTATCTTTCTGTTCGTCTTTGCCGGACTGATGAGTGGACTTACACTTGGCCTTATGTCACTGGGCCTCGTCGATCTAGAGGTGCTTCGCAGGAGTGGCACCGAGAAAGAGAAACAGCAGGCTGGTAAGTTGGAAGATATTTTTGTTCCATTCAAGGAACGTTAAATATGTGAACCTGAAGAGAATGTATTCTGATTTTGGTGCCAATGTATCATCTTGCTGCAGGGGCCGCCTTGGAATTGAAGCCTGTGCTAGCAATCCACAAAGAGTTGGACATACCGATATAGTTTCATCGCTGTTATCAGTCTCGAATTTCTGTACAAATATGCTTCCATGCTGGTAGTGAACAGCCTTATCTTGTACTGTTCTTGCAGATATCATTCTTCCGGTGGTGAAACGACAACACTTATTATTGGTAACTCTGTTACTCTGCAATGCGGCCGCGATGGAAGCACTGGTGAGGTTTTCTCAACAACATGAGCAATGCTGTTTTGTCATGTCATCTTATGTCACCTTTTACTCTGCGTTGTGCATTCCTGGTCAACTTGCTCTTTTGGGAATCATTTCTGCAGCTGGACTCTTCATGAGAACTAAGCTGGACTGATTTGATCTCCCATTTCTTGCAGCCCATCTTCTTGGATAGACTTGTGAATCCTATCGCGGCAGTCATTCTGTCAGTGACTCTGGTCTTGCTGTTTGGAGAGGTGAGTCGCTGGATTGAGCACTCCTTTCAGAACCTTGAATCTTCAGGATAGGCTTGCTGTGCAGTCCAGATGAGCCCTGACATGTACGTGCTTGCTATTGAGTGACGAACCAGTGGGGCTGGGGAGAAATTATGTAAGGGATACTATTGATCAAGTTCCATTCTCTTCAAGCAGTCTACTTCATCGAAGTAGACACAGCCCCTTGATAAGTTCCTGGCGCTGTGCAGATCATTCCTCAGGCTGTCTGTTCACGATATGGATTGGCTGTTGGCGCCAGCCTGGCTGGCCTTGTCAAAGTCCTCATGTTTCTTTGCTATGGAATCTCATACCCGATTAGCAAGGTGAGATTTGAACTCTCTGTCCTCTGCACTTGTGGTTCTCAAGGCATTCCTTTCATATGATTGATGTTGCACGGGCAATGCTCCCAGTGGCACTCGGTGATAAGAGCTTTGTAGGGCAAGGGGCACAGAGAAGTTGATGAAGTGGTTCTTTGGTCTTGGCCCCACTTCACAGAAGGTTGTAGCATGTAGCTGTGGCCTGCTTTAACTCGTTCATTTGTACATGCGTCCATGGATGGAAAATATTGGGACGACTGAAGCATGGGAATCCTCTGTTGCAGATCCTGGACTGGGTGCTTGGCGAATCTGAGGAGGCCTTGTTTCGCCGGTCCCAGTTGAAGGCCTTGGTCTCAATCCATGAGCAGTCAGTAAGAATCCATGAGCCCCTCCTCAACAATTAGCTGTTACAGCGGCGCATGCCAGAGGAAGGTCAAGGAGGGTACACATTGTAGATGTGCCAGCCAAGTTTTATCTTTCTCTTTTTGCAATTGACTTGACACTCTTTCTAAAGCAATTGTCCATCACTAGCACTCTTTTCAAAGCAGCACCTGTTTCTTTCGGTCAATGTGCAGCAATAAGGCCACAGATGGAAGTCCATTTTCTGATGCTTTTTCATCAGCACCAACCTGTCACAACCATTTAGAGCTTGAAGCGTGGGATCTTGACCGTCTGGAAAAGTTTCCTCATGGAACTAACTCGTGATGAGAACGCTTGCTCGCACAGGCGGGCCAAGGTGGCGAGCTAACTCACGACGAAGCGGCCATCATTAGCGGGGCGCTGGACCTCACAGAAAAAACTGCGAAAGAGGCGATGACACCCATTGACTCAACGTTCTCCATGAGCGTCTTCACCCGGCTGGACTGGTATGTGCCGCTAGCACGCTGGAAACCAGGGCTTCTCCTTTGAGAGTAGAATCCGTATTTAGAGGCCGTTTGTGGTACGATAGTGTGAACTGCTAGGAAGACTCGCTATCGTGTTTTGGCCCATGATGAAACGGGTCCCGACGGTCCCCTTGTCCTCGTATCGAGCAGAGCCATATCGAGCTTGCCTAGACGCGGGCATATTTGCTGGTTGCTCGAGCAAGTCCGTGTGATAACTCCTCTGGTTCCACGTAGATGAAAGTAAGTCTCGAGAACTTCGTAGCAAACCGCATCGTAGGAATCGGGAGAAGCATAGCTTCAGAAATAGATAATGAAGTTTTTCTGATTACTAGACGGGGCATGTGTGCAGGCAAGTCATGGGCGAGGTGCTCAGGCGGGGCCACAGCAGAGTCCCTGTCTACGTGGACACGCCGAGCAACCCGATTGGCATTCTGCTGGTGAGGCACCTTCCTCCAGTCAAAGTGCTAAACCTCGTATGTAAGCACGAGAAAATGCAGATTTCAGGTTTGCATCACAAGCCTTGTCCAAAACACGTGCGAAACTGAGTCTTGAGATTTGACTTGTGTGTTTTATTGGCATGAGGGCACAACTCGGAAACGCAGGAGGCGAACCACCATCTATCTAGATGCAGCCATTCCCCGCCGTGTGTTTCAGCCCCCAAAAGCCACGGGGTTATTGTGTACGCAGTAAGCTTGTGTCCGTTAATTCCGGGACCTATTCTCACCTTCCCACGTGCATTCCTTCCCACGTGCATTCCAGGTGAAAAGCCTCATCACGGTACGCCCAGAGGACGAAGTCACGGTCAGCTCTCTGGCCATTCGCCCGCTGCCACGTGTCCCAGCAAACCTGCCTCTGTACGACATCCTGAACGAGTTCCAGAAGGGCGGGAGCCACATGGCCGCCGTTGTGCGGGCAGAAGAAGAGCCAGACGAAGAAGAGCCGGAGGATGCCATCGCCGAAGACGACGAGAAGGAGAAGGGCAACGGCGGGTCCTGGTTCGGGGGTCGCATGCTGGATATGATGAAGGGCGCGTGGTCCAGCGGACCAGAAGCAGAAGAGGCCGCTCCTGAGAAGGGCCAAGCCGACTTGGAGAAGGGCCTCTTGGCCGACCTCACCATCTCCGAAATCAAGGAAACCGGTACGCAACGTGCATGTGGCCATCTAGGGCGCCTCTGGCAGTCTGGCCTGCCGGGTTGACCCGTCACTTTCGCTGCTTCGCTGCTGATTTCTGACACTTCGCAGGGTTGAGACTTGGTGGCGAAAAATGCTGCTGTTATGCCCTCTATTGTAGTGGACAACATCGTACTTGAAGATAAGAGACGTGTATCGCCAGGTGTCTCTAGTGGAATAGCGTTGCAGCCTTATTGCAGTTCGGTCCATCCGTAAACACGTTTGCAACCTCTTGCAAGCGAGCAGCGCATAGGCAGTGAACAGTTGCTTATTGCTTCGGATTAAATGGCATTCTACTTAACGTCTGACGGCGGTTTGCATCTTGCAGGGGAGATCATCGTGGAAGGGAACACCCTGCCGGTGCCTGGGGCGATCTCGAAGGATATCTACTTATCGCTCAACACTCAGACTGGAGAGGTAGACGCGATCCCGGACCCCACAGTTCAGACGCAGGCTGAGCCGGTAGAAGATCGCCAAGTTCCAGGCAAGTTTCCTCTCGGTTCCGTCGGCTGGTCAATTTTGTGCAGTTTCGAACAGTTGAGAAAGTGCTTGAAGGTTGGTCACTCGGCAGTCCGGAAGGCCATTTTATGACCGCTGCACAGCTTCGTCAGAACATCCCTTTTCTGTCCGTCTGATCTCGAACCTGTTCGCGCTTCCGGTTAGGCTCTTTCTACCAGTTGCGAATCCACTTTGAAACGTCCGCCCTTTTGCTGAACCACTTGCTAGTTCTGCTTAACAAACGACAGAAAGGCGGTCTGACTTCACTCATTTTGGACCACCTGCTGTTGTGACTTCCAAAGGCGCTATGCATATCCTCAAATTCAAATCAAGCAAACTCCAGTTTAAGATCTTCGACACATTCCCATCTGGACACGCATCTTGAAAGGCTTTATAGATCGCTCGCAAAGGTGCGTGATGTGGGAATCAGGATGTGCTCGAGACTTGTCTTTGTTATTGACTTGGGTAGAACGCCCTCGACAGCATTGTCTAATAGCCTCCCGCTTCTAGTTGCAGAACTTCAGACTGCCCCCGCACCGCGCGCGCCTGTTGGCAACTTCCGGGAGGTGTCCATCCGTGGCGGCGTCGTCCCATCGTCCGAGCAGGGTCTTCCCGACGCGGCCGCAGGAAAGGGCAAGGGCCCCCTGCCAGTGGTTCCCGAAATTCCCGGACCTCGCCAGAAACCCCCTGCCAGCCCGGGAGGCAAACCCCGCGAGAAAGGGGCGGCCGTGCCTGAAGGGGGCTCCGGGCCTATTGGTCGGGTGAACAGCTTCAAGGCTCGGGTGGCGGTCGTTCCTGACAAGGTTGCAGACAAGGTGAGGCGCAGGGCTGAGCGGAAGTTTCTTGACTTCGTTCTACAAGTCACGAGGCGACCTGGAGTTAATATATGAAGCCGCGTTCAACTCTCCCTCGTTTTCAAAGAAAGATACCATTAGTTGGGTTTGCCTACTTTGGATCTCATGTAAAGCATGAAAACTTTGATCATCGACAAAAGGGAGAGCAAGTTCTTGTGTCATAGCAGGGGTTTCTCGTACTCATTCGATGCCAATCCATTACTAGTCGGATAGCCCATAAGAGGCGTCGGAGGCTTCAATCAGCCCTGCTGCGGTATGCTTTCGACAATTCTCGTTTGCAAAATACCGCCTTTGGTAGTACAGGCGGGACAGGCGTTACCCCACGCAGAACATCATGACGTCATGCGACGACTCACCCATGTCGTCCTCCACCTTCTCCCAGATCACTAAGGGCGACCTTCGAAGCCCTGGCTCCGCACCCCCCGCAAAAAAATCGGAGACTTCCGACATCACGTACGGTCCGTACACCCCGAACGCCCCTATTGAGGAGACCGGTCAGCCGGGCAGCAGCACGATAGTCTCTGCTGGCGAGGCCGGGAACGGGCCGCTGCCTCCAGAGGGCGAGACGGCTGTCGTGCTGAGTACAGCGGGGAAGGACGGAGGCAGTGACCCGGCTTCGCCCGTGAGCAGGTGGTGGGGCAAGAAGGTAGGCGGCTCCGTGAAGCTCACTCCATGGCGGAAGATCATGGCAGGGCTGCTGCTTCAGAATAGTGCTTGGTTTAAAGATCTGCGCGCGAATCATTAACGCTGTCAGTGGTCAAAACTCCCATTGGATTAGCTGGCTTTGCTTTGTGTTGCTCGCCTTTTGAGGTCTGCCAGAAGGTCTTAGTGGATGCGCATGGTCATGGTTCGGTTACTTCGCAAACCTAGCCAGAGAAACATTTTCGAGGACCACTGACGAGTAGACTTTGATTTGCCCTTTAAGGAGTATCAGAAGGTTCGAGTGAATTCCAATGGTCAGGGGTCGTTACCTCGCACCAAACAGTCACGAAAGTGTTTCGGGAACCGCGGACGAGTATCTTCGTTTCCATCTCGCAGAGTGCGTCGCGGCCGACGCGCGAGGACCGCGTGATTGGGGTGATCACGCTGGAGGACGTGATTGAGGAGCTGCTGCAGGAGGAGATTGTGGACGAGACGGATGAGTACATCGACGTGCACAGGAGGTGCTCGCGGCGGCTGCATGAGCTTTTATCTATTCCAAACTGTGCTTTTTACTTGAGGTCTATTTTCTGTGACTACATGCTTCTTGAACAAGGAGTTGTCCTCAGCAAGGACGAGACATTTGTATTATATCCGTCATTGATCAAGGTTACGTCGTATCCAGCGTTTGAGCCTTTGTGCTTTGTGGTTCTCAAAGCTCCAATCTGCTGCCTTGTGAGCTGTGCTCACGAAGGCCAGGGTTGGCAACCCGCGTGCAGACTGATTGTCTTCATGGTCTCTTCCCTGCCGTTGCCTGATCAAACGGACGGATGAAATATAGTTTGACCAGTGGTCCTCTGCGGCGGTGTGCAGGATCCGAGTCGCCAACGTCGGCACTGCCGGCCGCCGCATCATTCAACCACCCACCGGCCGAGGAAGAACGCAGGCAAGCAGCCATGTCTCGCACCCACAGTATGCTTAATTCTGGATCGTTTAAGATCTGGTGCTGCTGCTCTTGTAACTAGCAATCGCTCCTTTCAGGGGGAGGACTCCAGACCATCTATTCTTTTGCATAGAGGATCGAAAATTGCTTTCAACCCTTACCCAATAAAGTCCCGCTTACCTTTCATGATTCTGTCTGGTCTAGAGTACTTTCTTGATATTGGCCAACGATCCGTGCTTCCAACTTGCTTTCAGGGTGGCCCCGGTCGCCGGAGGTCCAACATGGCCGACTTCGTGGATCGCGCTGGCCGGAGTCTCGACCGCGAAAACGACCGGAGGTTCCGCTCTCGCTCTACATCCAAGGAGTCAACTGTCCGTCACTGGCACACCCGCAGCGCCAAAGACGGCGAGGCAGCCCAGCGCCAGCAGGGAGGCGATGAGGCGTACAGCGGTCAGGAGAATAACTCACTGCGGCCCAGAGGCGCCAAGGGGGAGCTGAGCGAACCGCTGCTGTCAAGCAGTCTCAGCAGCATGTGAAAGGGCCTCACGTTGACAGAGCGTCGCAGTGCAAGTCTGACAGTTTAAAGGAGGTGGTAGAGGAGACTCCTGTCCGGAAGAAGCAGTTTTGGGTGTGTCAAGGTCATACAAGGTCATACAAGCCAAGCAGTACTTATGTTAGTTGCGCAAGAAGGTAACTTCTGATAGAAGACAGGGATTGGGTGGCTCCAAGTAGACGCAGAGCTTTTCGAATCCGCAAGCAATTGCATCAATTTTCCGAGGGGGTTGCAGGTGAGATTAGGGGCTGCCTTTTCTGAGTCAGGAGCTATGCTCGAGACGAGTAAAGCAGTTATGGCACTGTCGTTTCCTTGTGAGTTACGGGGGATGTGTACCCAATTTCATAATCCTATACTTCCTTCACAATCGCCTACTTGCCTTGATCGATTCTGCAATGGTGCATCGACATGGAGCTGCGTTGAACTGCTACATTGGTACACATATGCATATGTCTATCTAGAGATTGAGCCGCCTGCACTCTCCAATTGCAGGATTGCGCATGATCTTATTGCTGCATGCACCGCGTGGTGCTGGCAATGATGTCGGACCATGGTTACATGCATGTATATGTGAGTCCGGACGGTCATGACACGTACGCGATCCGACCAATCCAAACGGACTCAGTTATACTGAACATGTATCGTTCGACTAGCTAGCCTGATATAATGTGCGGGCCGGCTGGCACCAGATATCTAACTCGGTAGTTAATGTACCAGTAGACGACATGGTGTACCAGTAGACGACATGGCGGCGGCCACATGAGCCTATGCCAGCAAGCAAATTCAGAAGCAGGTGTATCCTTGAGTTCAACAAATGGACATTTCGAAGATGTGCTTCTAGCTCTAACTACTGATTTTGAACCTGCTATCGGAATCACAAGCAATTAACCAGATGCAGCGAAGCAGGCAGTTCTCCTTCAAAGTTCACTTCAACGATCAAACCAAAGCCTTGGCATGCACCATCTACATCGCACCAGGTTCAGGGGTTCCATAACAAATCTACTTGAGAGAGACGAGCAATATCTTCACAGCAAAGCTGCAAGGGTGGATCCGATCTGCACCGACATTGCTCTGAGAGCTTCCAAAGAACTCTAAACCTGGCAACTACCATATCGAAACTCCCTATTGTTGAGTGTCATATCACTCCTTCATCAGATACTAAGCTCAGTTCCTACACTACCTCAAGCTATCAATCTCTAAGCCCCAACGTTGCAAACAACGGAAACACTAGAACGAAGGGCAAGTCGGGCTTGCCCAAATAAACCCATTCGCGATTCGATGTTGGTGTGCAAGTGCTCCCACTCCGAGCTAGGCTACAGCAATCAGCTGAGGGCACTCGCGCTTCAGGTGGCCAGTTTGGCCACAGGTATGGCACGCCTGCAAATCAATGAGATATTCACCATCACATTAGAACTCTCATCACCATCACAATCTCTCAAAACACCAAACCTTCTCAACCTGCCAACATCCGGGTGGATATAAAGAAGAGCCCAACACCACACCACCATGAACTTCAGACGTTCTCAGCATTACATTACAATACCTAGCTGCTATCGGGCTGAAAAATCCGAGCAATCAGCAGCCTGACCCACAACGCAACTTCTGCAAAAACACGCGAAGTGTGTGCAGGTGGAGCACATCTGTTGGTTTGCATTGTCAAAGTCCGCACCTTCTCATACCCTGACGGGCAATCCCGCCTGATGTGCCCCGCCTGCCCGCAATTGTGGCACACCCGCTGATCGTCCCCTTCGTGCACTGCCTCGGGGCAGTCCCGCTTCAAATGGCCCGGCTGGCCACACCCATGGCAGGTCTTCACCCCACCGCCGTTCGCTACGGGTGCCTGCAAAGAGTTCTCTTCTTGTTTATCTCCCTGTCTTACGAAATTGCTGAGGTACAGGCGAAGAAGCGAAGGAGAAGGGCGGACAACAAGGATTGTGAAGAATGACAAGTACTTTGGCTTCCTCCTTGCGTAATCGCACTGAGCAGATGTCTACTATTGTCAAACCCGACCAGAGGAGCAGAAACCACTGATGCCTGGTAAGGGTAAGAACACCCTGCTGAGGTTTGACGACGGCCTCCAAGAAGACGCACTCGGTCTCTTGAAGTTGTCCCAAGATAGGTTGATTTCCGCCAGTATCTTGTCAAAAGTATGAGCATAACCAGTTCCCGGAAGGACCAATGAGCGCGTACCTTTGTGCAGTCCCTCTTCAGGTGCCCCACCTCTCCGCACGCATGGCACGCCTTGGCCAGGGCTCCGTTCTCCTTCACGGGGGCCTGAGGACAATCCACCTTCAAGTGGCCCGGCTGAATAACAGCAACAAACGAAATCAGGCGCGCCGTGTGAAGCCCGCTGAAGTGGACCAGGCTCTCAGCCCCAGACGCAAGGCCCCGTTCTGCTCGTTCCAGTCCAAACCGCCTTTAACTGTTCGACAACCAACTGCAGCTTTTCCTACGACTCATACGTAACGATTCAACGCTTACAAGTCACAGACCGCTTCATTTTGCTCTCCACAGACGTTCTGTACATAATATTCTGAATTAGTGTTTGCTGGTTACTTGTCAATGACGATATTAGCGACACCAACGCACATAACCCGTCAATTCCTTGTCAGCTGCATAAAGAGGCCAACTTGCCACCATGAAAAGCAAGAGGCAGTGAACAGCAGCTAGGACACAAGGACTGCGTCCAATCAGAGGCATGTATCCTCTTCAAAGACTGCACAGTAAAAGATTTCGGACAGGAGGAAAAGCAGTTGTTAATATGCCTTATGGTAAACTTCGAAGACTCCCTAACTGTCATCAGCAGACCCTTCTGGAACTTTTGTCCAAAACTTGAAAAGTCCAAAACTTGAAAACAGTGTCTGCTTGCCTGGAGAGATCCCATGATGGCCAATAACAAAGAAGCGAATGAGTCCCTTCATCACCAATGAGTCAGAGAAGAGCTCTTACCTGCCCGCAAGTGTGGCAGGTCTTCTCGCCGACCTTCCCCTTTTTCACGGAGGCAAGCTCCGGACACTGCAAGCACCGAACCCACCAGCCTAAGGCTCACGTTTCGCAAACGTACCTGATAAACGGCAGCTCAGATTACAAGTCCTTGTCCCTAAGCGTCGCAGCCCTTAAATCAAGTCAACAGCGTGCAAATCAAAGCCAAACATGTCTGACAACAGACAAGCCGTGTTTTAAAATCGCACTGTAGTGCAACCTCTAACAACATGGAGTGGGGAGGAACTTTGAGCGCTTTGCTGGCAGGAAGAAGAGAGAGCCCTCACATCCTGCCTAAGGTGTCCGCTCTGCCCGCACTGCTGACACGTTTGCTCATACCTGCAGGGTGGGGGCAACACGTTACCACTACAGCCCAAGAGGCAACGCACAGGTCACACAACCGTTCTTCTGCATTTTACTGGGTGGACGCCAGAATCTCTAGCACCACAGGGCAACATAAATGGACATGAGTCGTTCCCCACACGACCATTGACAGGCCCTCACTCATACTAAACATTCCTAGATGTGAAAGACATCCCGTTGCCAAGGGGAGGCCGGCTACCCTTACTTGCACTCCCTCGCGATGTGCCCGCTCTCCCCGCAGTTCCGGCAGGTGGCCTTGTTGGTGCACGCGCTGCGCACATGGCCAGGCTGCCGGCAATTGTGGCACGTCTGCACGAGGCCCCCCAAGAAAGTGAGACAAAAGCCCCTGACTGAATTGCGTCGAAAATCAGAACTTGAACTTGCGCGCTGAACTCCGTAGAAATAGCCTCTGTTTGAACCAAAAACTCAGAACTTACGTGCAACAGCGTTCAGGCACACCCAAAACTGGTCAAGGAGACCAACCCAGCAACTTCAGCCCAACAGTTTCTCAATTGAATTCAGAGTGGCGAGAGAAAGGAAGTATCAATATAAGGATTGATGAACTACACAGCCAACGTACAAGCAAATGAAGTAGCAAGTGGATACAAAGCGGAGCAAATGCAAATGAAGGAGAGCAAAAGGCAGGGAGCAAATGAGAGTGACTGCAAAGACCTGCCTGCTCATACTGGCAATCCCGAGCGATGTGACCTGCGGAGCATGAGTGAAGAGGTCAGGCAACCCTTTGAACCAGCGGACAGACTTATTTCTTGCCCTGCGGACCATATATTCCTTCAAACACATAATTGGGTATTGGGCGGGGGGGGGGTTCATCTAGAGCCAGCAAGAAGCCCGCAAATCTCCCTAGCTTGTTTATAAGAGGCTCGGAGACTTGAAGATACAAACATATTAGCAGACCTCTTACTCCTTGTCAATGCAACCACCTTTTTACCATTACCACCGGCTGACAAGAACAGCCATGCGAATTTAGCAAGGGTAAAATGATTGAGGGTCACTTTGCAGATTGCCAAAAGCGACGTGCAGCCCAGCTGAATCAATGAACATGCCAGGCGCTGCATATGACCATTACCAAAATGTGAAGACTTAACAACCTTGATAAAATTGTTATGCACCTTGTGGGATCATGATTGTGTTCAAGCTGCCAATCTGTGATTCCCAAGCATCAGCATGGTAATCCTCTGCGTAATCATTGCAATCTCCTGCTCCAGGCCGTGAAAATCGTGCGATGGCCAGCATCAGAATATGATCAAGAAGAAAGTTGTACGTCAAGCGACTCACCAATCTCATCACAATTCCGACACTGCTTAGCTGTATGGTCAGCGTCCCGGCTGTTCTGACCCAACGAATCTGTGGGGCAATTCTTCCTCAAATGCCCCTCCTGTCCGCACCCATGGCACACCTTTCCTGCCATCCTTGCCCTTCCCTTTCTACCTGGGTGCTCTGAACTCGTGTCCAAAACTCGAGCTACTCCAAGGCGTCTACGTAGAATTTATAAGCACCTTCGCTGCTTCAGAAAAATTCCCGTCCACAAATGAGCGCCTTGACCTTGATTTGGTGAAGAAACTTTCCCGTTTACGAGTCAGCTGACCGGTGCTTTCACAGTTCACTGACAGTGTTCAGTGTACTGGATGTGCTTCGCTATACCGGTACGGTACACAGTATTCTGAGCACATGGGTGCCATATTGGAAGAATTGGAGCGACTGTAAAGCATGTAGCACCACTATTACAGTCGCCGCGCATCATTTCCTTTGCTTTTTGTGGCGACAGCAAGATGGCGATACCGTGCCTTCCAGACGCCGCACAACCTGTGCCCCGCATGTTAGCGACAATCTACAAATTCGTTCTGGTCAGAAGTCGGCGTGACTCGTACCTAATCTGGAAGAACCATTCTTCATTCTTCACTTTGTTGACAGTGCCAGGGGTGGAATCTCGTGTCAAGGCGCCTTTGCTGTTCAATTACACGGTGCGCTTACCCCAAGCATGGCCTCTGGACAGCCCGATGCAAATGGCAGCAGACCATCGACCAGCGATGATGGCGGTCCACACTTTGATCTCGAAACTTATACGAGCAACTACATGGGCCATACCAAGATCATCAGGTTGCGCTTCATTGCGGAGAAATGCAGCGATTCTGCTATGGAGCTTGAAGCACTTCGCATGGCACTGGATGAGATAAAAAAGGGGGACAACACGCAAGTCTACATTGAGACAATCGAGCGCGTGAGAGGTCGATTGGGAAGAGCATACCAGCATGATCGTGAGTGGGTGAATACCAAAGAGAAGCAGGCGGCACAACGGCAGGAACGATTGGAATTGGAGCTCAATGGGTACAAGGTGCGTCTTGACTTCGTGTCCTTGTTGAATCAGTAAACCCTTGTCCTCAACCGAGATTGATATCATATCCTTCATCTGCCTGCACTTTTCTATTGTCTGCAAATTGTTGCAAGCTTCTGCAAAATGACTTACACGGCCTATCGCTTGTTCTACATCAAGACATTGTTCAAAAGTATAGTAAATCCTGCCACTATTCTTACTGACATCAAACTTTTGCGATAGAATTGTTGCTGACATTCACACGGATGCTTCTGTTTCCAAGGATGATGAACTGGGACGCCTCTGTGAGATCGATCGGTGGTGGTGCAGTGCGCACGGCAATTGCTATTTCAAAGACCTTAGGCATGAACTTGAGTCCAACTCACTTTGTCCACTGTTGACCGACCAGATGACTTGGGCCCATAGGTTCCTATTGCAAGCCCCGACACTGTCGCCCGTTCATGTTTAGGATTGCATGCAACACTGTAAGCTAATTCTGGTGGTTTGAGCCTTCTGGACAACCAGAGGAAACATGGGCCACTTTTTCGCAGACCAACTTGATCAAGGAGAGCATCCGAATGGGGTACAACGACCTTGGTGACTTCTTCTATGCGCGTGGCGACCTCCAAGCAGCATTCAAGAGCTACGTGCGGACTCGGGATTACTGCACTACCTCAAAGCACATCATCAACATGTGCCTCAATGTCATCCTGGTCAGCATCGAGCTGGGGCACTTTGTGAATGTCACCAACTACGTGCAGAAGGCCGAGCAGACCCCGGACAATACAGATCCTGTTATACAGGGGAAGCTCAAGTGCGCTGCAGGGCTGGCACATCTGGAAAACAAAAAGTATAAGCTGGCTGCAAGAAAGGTGAGCAGTTTAGGACTCATTCTGCGAGCAAGTAATTGTCGAAGTTAATAAAGAGTGGCTGTATGCACAGATACAGTAGTCAAAAAGAAGCGATGCGTTAGATGGATGTGATTGGGCCTAGTAAGAGATAAGACGACTCTGTACTCTGTCATCTTGCATGACAGATTGGATTTCCTTTCAGAGAGCTTACCGATGTGTTTATCATCATGTTGCAGTTCGTCGACGTCAACTTTGAGCTTGGCACACAGTACAAAAAGGTTATTGCACCCCAGGATGTGGCCCTGTATGGAGCACTCTGTGCACTGGCGTCGTTTGATCGGGCAGATCTGAAGGTGCGATCATGTTCACAGCTCCTTCACGTTCGTTTGAATTGACTCAGTTGCCTGCCTATGTCTGCAGGCGCTTTTTCTCCATCAGGTTCGCTTCAAATTGTCAACGAATTGCTGATTTGGAGTCAGCATAAGCTGTGTCCATCCTTCCTTCAGCGCCCTTTTTTGACAGCAAACACAGCATCTGAACTCTTCCTCCTTTGTTTGCAGAGCAAAGTGATCGACAACATCTCCTTTCGAAATTTCTTAGAACTCGTGCCAGACATTCGGGAGCTCATAAACGACTTTTATGCGAGGTAAGCGCTTCTCTTGATGGCAAACCTGTGCCAGCAAGCGGTTTTGCAACTTCGAGAGGTTTTTCACGTGCTCATCAAGAGTCGAACAACTGTTTCTAGAGTGCCTCGTACCATTCTCGAAGTCGATTGCGAACCCAAGAACCTTCACAGTCTGCCGGTTGCGCCGATTTGATTAGAGAGAAAGCTAATGTAAGCTTTTCCGATTACATTCGCAAACATTGGTCACAATCTCTTGTCCAATGAGTTGCGAAGCAATACACATGACTGGATGCAGCAGCTCTTGAGCTGTAGATGTCGGACGTCATCCGCTGGCTTCGATTCTCCGAAATTGACGTCAGCCTCGCCTTGATGGTGGCGCTTACAGAGTCGGTGATTTTCCTGTGTGCAGCCGGTACGCGTCGTGCCTGGGGTACTTACAGAAGCTGAAGCCGGACCTGCTGTTGGACGTGCACCTGTTCGACCACGTGGACACGCTGTACGAACAGATCCGGCACAAGGCGCTCATCCAGTACACCACGCCCTTCATCTCGGTGGACCTCAACAGAATGGCGGCGTCCTTCAAGACGAACGTGGCGGGGCTGGAGAAGGAGCTGGCGGCTCTGATCATGGAGAATCAGATCCAGGTATGCAAGTTTGAGTTTGCACTCTCCTGGTTTGCAAATTGGACAACCGAATGAACCATACCGCGTGTGAGAGTGTGGTGTAAGAATGTTGCCGATGCCTTTCTTTGCATTCCTTTGTAGCGCCAGTGAAGGAAGCAGAGTGTTGGACCGATCTTCTACCTGTCAGAATGGACTTCGAACCTTAATGTAGGAGCTTTTGAACCCGTGGCTGGCTGGAAGCGCCTCGTCTTGTCTGGGTACCGCAGATTCCTTCTCCGTCTTTGCCTCTCTGACCTCGAACCCCACCAGACAGCTAGTTTTAAACATGCAGGCTCGCATCGACTCCCACAACAAGATTCTGTATGCACGCCACGCGGATCAGCGAAACACGTCCTTTCAAAAAGCACTTCAAGTAGGGGCGGATTACCAACGTGACACGAAAGCTCTTTTACTTCGGGCGAATCTTATGCAGCACGACTTTGTTGTCAAACCAAAGAAAGGCCAGTGAGAAAGAATCTCAAACTCAAGGATGCTCTTATAGACCCTAGAGACTTGCTCTGCAAATGCCATCTTAACACAAAGAAAGGATGATCGTCAAGAAGCTGATTCAGCTATCGAGCCTGTCTAACGTCGAAGGTAGATAAAGCTGCGAGGTTGCTTGATGTGAGATGTTGGAGCCAGGCCATGGCCTGTTTCTCGTCAGAACTTCGTAAACCATGTGGTTCAACCGTCCAAGATAGGTTTGTCTATCAGACCGTGTCGAGAATCGCTGAAGCTGTCTTCATCTCTTTGTTGTAATGGCCCTTACACGAGTTGTCGGAAGCTGTGAAGAATATGGATGTGATGCAACTTATGCACCCGGCTCACAAAGAAGTCTTGAGGGGTTTGATGGTGGCAGATATTATAATATTTCCCAACTATTCGAGGTGCGAACGCATCGAGAGCAAGCTGGTTTTGATGCTATAGAAACCGCAGCGATCTATGTCACCTAAACATATTGTGGACAAATTCGATCAGTGCTACCGGTGGGTACTCTTGACTCGTGTATTTTCAGCGTATCCAACTCAAGAAGCGGTCTTTTGAAGTGTGTCATATGAGTCGTAGACCGAACAATTGTTAACTGAGCTACGGTTGTCGATTTCAACTTAGGTTTGAACATGCACCCGAGTCGCACCACCCGGAGCTATTCGGACCACCCTGCATATACAACCATCATGAGCACCTCTGCTTATAAGGATCGCTTTGCAACATGCCCACTGAGTTGCTCAGGATGTTCCAGGATATTCGACGAGCTTCTTCTTTTAGGTGCTGCATGTGAGTGTACGTACTACGTAAGGCCGGGTTGGTTGTCCACTTTCGTCGTTCCGTTCCGTCGCGATCATGTACGGTTCTTACAAGGCCGGCTGGCACGCGGCGGAAGATGGCGAGCCTGTGCGGTGCTCACGTGGTCAACCCAAACCTTGGATCCAATCAAACGCAAGAGCGTTTCTTCGATTTATCCAATCGCAATCGTGCAATACCAGAAGAATTTGAAGAATAGGTATGGCAATCAGCCTGCAGTGGGGCGAAGAAAGTACTCATTCTAAAGGCGAAGGCCCCGGAGATCTTCTTGGGAAGGGAGCAGGAAAGGGCCGTTGGCCCGTTGCATATTGAAGTTAAATCCTGCAATTTGCCAAATCGTGCCGCCATTATTTTGCTGGTGGACTATCAAAGAAGACGGTTCGCAAATTGCAATCACTGCACACTTGTGCGAGGACGTGAATCTGGGGTCTGGTGCATTTGCTGAGCCATTAAGCACGTACATTGTTAGTTTGTTGCACAATGGCGTCTGCGGTGGCGGCTGTGAGGAGTGTAGTGCCTTTGTGTGCTGCGGCCTCTGTCCTTGGGGCACCCACAGACCGGGTGACCAATGCCCTGCCGCTGAGCTATGCATCGCTCAAGCAGAGCAGCTTTGCTGGCCGGTCGCTTGCAATGGCTCCCAGCTTGAGGTCAGCTCTCCAAGGTAAGTGAGCTCAAGATGGGGCAACCTTCGATTCTCGTGGATGTTGGGTCCTTTTGTTTCACTTGGATCTATCAATGCAGATGATTAACAGGCCGACCTTTGCTCTGCCAATCCTCTTCTAGGAGCCAGCACGCGAATGTATTCTCCCAAACTGTCAGTTGAGTGGCTCATAGGCCCTGCATGCAATCATTGAGAACGTATTTGTTGCATTTCGCTTTCAGAGCAGGCTTGCTTTCTGGTTGGATTCAGGGGAGCGCTTGAAATGCATGATCAAGCCACCCTGGTACCATGCATTCAGGGACCTCGTCGACTATCCATGCGGACGCACTTTTCAGGATTCATTTTCAGGAGCCAAGATCTCTGCAGATCTGTGTCCAATAATTCTCCTCCTGCAAATGCATTGGGCATGCAATATCATGCATCTTGGTTGCACATTACGTCCTCCATAAGTATTTTGCCCAATGAAAGCAGGATCGGAAGGCTCAAGCAGATAGTTGGGAGGGCGTTTGTCTCTTATCTGCTGGTTTGTTTAGATGTAGCGCTCCACCCTTTGTTATGAGGACTTGCTCCTGCTGGTCATGAACCTCAGCTGTTCAGGCGCCAGTTGCAAGGCCCTTGCTTGCCATTCTTGACATGCAGAAGATTGCTGTCTTTATGATGCTCAGTCGTCCAGCTTTACAACGCTCCTCTGTTTACATTTCTGATAAACAATCCGTCAACAGCGTGGTTTCTTGATTGTATTGGCATCCATGCCTTCTGCATTTTAAGGTGTGAATCAAGTAAGGGAGACTGAAAGAGAGAGACGGAGAGGCTTTGAGAGTTGAGCAAAAAGGACCATGGTAAAATCTGCTCCACTGCACAGGTGTGGCAGAGGACTGTGTTTACCTGGCAGTTTGTCGAAATGCCTTCTGGCCGTTTCTGTCCCTATATTGGTGTTTAGAAGCTAGTTTGGCAAAAGCATTAATCGTGACCGCATGGGCAGAGTGTTGTTATGCTGATCATGCACTTTAACATGTGCCACACAGCATTGAGCCCGGAAACTTGAATTGTTTCAGAATTGGAAAGGAGTGACAAATTATGAGTTTGCTGTGACAATAGCAACGACACTGTGGTGGAAAGCAGCCCTGCGAAGCAGCAAGTCTGCACACAATGGAACAAAGGTCTTCGGCATATCCTCCGCGAAGATAGAGCAGGTACAACACCTGATAAGAGGAGTCGGATTGGGCATGTTTTTATATGTGCGAAAGTAACAAGGCCTTGTAAGTCAAGAGGTGTGCTCTTTGTGCAGCCCGGAGCGGTCGGACCTCTCACAAAGTGCGTGCGGCTGTTGAGCCTGAGGTTGAGTCAGAGGTTGACGATGTCTCTGAGCAGCTAAAGGAGCAGCTCAAGGGCGTCCAAAACTGGGTGAGCATGGCTGGACTGCACCGCAGACATGCTGCCTGTACTGTGCCATTATTGATTTGTTCCAGACAGAGTGGAGCAGGCGTGCATTACTGTACCTCTTGTTTTGAGCACATGCCGGAATTCGATACATGTGCCCTCAGCAAATACAGGCATGCGGCATGCCCCACGTAGCATCATGGCCAAGATGTTACAAGAAAACTGGACCACCGAACGGGAATTATTGATCTGTTTCTTCCCACGGGCCATTGTGTCTTCAACACGAGGGTGGGCGTTGCAGCTCTGACATTTTGCAAGCTTACCTGGCATGCAGTGGGACAAGCAGGAGGACAAACTGGCAATTGTCGGTCTTGGCGTCTCCGGGATCGTCGCCCTCTGGGCCTCGTCTGGCCTGCTGTCAGTAAGTTGTTGCAGATCATGTCGCTGTTATGGCCTGCCAGAATTTATGCAAGGTTCATACGTGCCATAGCCGACCTTCCGCTATGGATGCTATGAGATCCGTCGTACCCTGACAAAGAGGAAAAGTACTTCCAGCAACTCATACAGTGGCATAAGCTAGTAGTACTTGCCTCTCAAAAGAGGCGCCCCTCGGGATCTTGCCAGTCTTCATGACATAAAGAAAGACCGGAAGGGCAAAACACTGCACCATTGAATCAACTGTTCGCTGCAATGTTGATGGCATTGTAGCCGGACGAGGAGAGCCGTAAAGATGATTTTCTGGCTGCCATGCTAGCCTGGTGCCTGCCAGTCTCTTCTTGCAGCGCTTTGGCCAACTCCCAGCATCACAAGTTGCTTCTAACAGCCGCCTGTCTCTGCAGTCCATTGACAGGCTCCCTGTTCTCCCTGGCTTCTTCGAGTTTGTGGGCATCTTGTTCACCGGGGTAAGTGCTTGTGGCTTCTGTCTGCTTCTGCACGAGTGTGCTTGTCCTAAGCAGGTGCTCATGGAATGAGAACTGCGCCTCTTACCCTGTTCAGACATGTTCCATGTATCCAAATGCTGACTTAGGCAAAAGCTTGAAGTCCGCTTATCTTGCACTGTCACCTGTGCAGTGGTTCGTGTACCGCTACCTTCTCTTCAAGCCAGACAGGTAAGCAAAATAGGAGACACAGGGGACTTTGGCTGCTGAACTTCGAGCTTGCATGGTGTCGTATGCTAGCTTATTATTGTTCGAATGTTGCACCTCGGATCTGTGCCGTTGTTATGACCCCACTGGTTGGCTTGGTTTGGATTTGTGTGGAAGGGGCTTGAAGTCTCTTTCATTGGTCATCTGGCAGGGAAGAACTGGCGCAGCTGGTAGACGAGACCAAAAAGAAGATCACAGGAGAGGAGTAATGCTTTTCAGGTTCGTCCAAATAGCTAGCTAGCATAGGGACAATATCTGCAAAAGGCTTGGCTCCATGTGAGGAGTCCTCTAAGTTTCGGCCGATGCAGGGAGGAGCTTCTCAAGGTTATCGATGAGCAGAAGGCGAAGATCACTGGAGAGAAGTAAAGATAGACTGCTGGGCTGAAAAGTTCCACCTCCCTCGTCAACAACAGAGTCAAGCCCGTGCAACGATTTAAGCCCACTCATGATCAAGAGCCTGCCGTCTGCCAAGTTGTGGCACCGAGTGGTTCTTCCAACCGTGCAAGGTTTACATTCCAGCAACCGGAATCCAATCACTCATGTAAGACAACTTGATGCACGTACAACTTTTGGGGCTTTTGTGTTGAGGGAGTCTAATAAATCGTGCCTGAAGCTATAAGAACTGCTTCAGAAGTTAGACAGAGCTTGTTGCATTTATATGCTTAGGGTGTGGATATTTGCAACACGTTGATGCATTCAGCCCTTCAGGCAGCTTAGCCCGTTACAACATCTATTTATATTCGTTCATACATTGTTGTTTTAAGTTGTGTCTGTGCATGCGAACAATATCGTATCCTCTAATCTTATATTTGTCTAGTTACCGTACTTTCACATGAATCAAACCGTCCATTATGTCAACCATGTATGACACGTACTCCTCGAGATCTGCATGCATGTGAATCATTGAATTGATTCAACCGGTCAGACTCGGTTGGAGTTCTTGCAGAAGGCTCGCGATCAGTGCTTGCATGACTCGTGTGCAGTGACGCGTGTGCACTTGATAACTTACTCGATCGAACTACTTGTTGAAAAGCTAGCCGTCTGGTAGTCTGTCCCGGAGCAATCCAACGCGCAGTAGAAGAATTGTCGGATGCTTAAGAATGTCGGATGTGACCAGCGATATATAACTCAGCAGATCTATCATGTATATGCAAGTTGATATGCTACACTAGTGACAAGGTCGATCATGCAAGCATGTGCAGGCGGGCGGCCTCGGCGCGACCGTCCTTGCACCACTTTCAAGAGTTGGCACCGCACATCGGAGACATGCATATGCATGATTATTGCCATCATTCAGTTTGTGTACGTACACATCATTACAGCTTGACCACCTATACAAGCTGCAACTTGTAGGGAAAATGATGTATGGAACGATGAGCACTCACAGTGACAGATGTTGGCGGGGAGCTACGTCTGCTTGATTTTACGAAGATCACAATTGAGAATGATGCGAAAGCCGGGTCATACATGCTATGAGCCAGCTACGAGCAAGCTCGAATATGGTCGTTAAAGAAAGACGGTCAGGTAATCGTTTCTTGATCACAGACACCTACACTTGCCACATGGCAAGGAATACATTGAGGATGGTATACAGAATCAAAAAAGGCTCAACCAGATAAAATCAAAGTTTCTCGGACAGGAAGAAAACCACGTCATACTGCACGGCTTAGAAGCAAAACCTCCAATCTCCTGAAATGTCAGAAGACTTCGCTGACCGACTACCGCGGGGCTACTCCGCCGCCCCCAGCACTCAACATTTGACCTATGATTCCCGTAACCTGTCAATGAGCAACGAAGAGGTAGACGAGTCACACAATGCGGCCTGTGTAGCTCTGCGGGCCCGAGCGGCTACGACATGAAGCATTCCTTCACAAGCAAGTGCTGCAATGCACTGGCACATCATATGAAGCCTCCAAGTGATTAGCATCTCCAATGAGTTATAAACCCAAGAAAAAAAGCTTGCCAAAAGAAGGTGTTTTGAGGTTACACTCGATCAGCGTCCTCACCTGCCAGTACTTTGCGACACACCGATCTATGCAGCTGGTCTCACCCACGTTGAGATCTCCCTCCTTCAATCTGCGAGCACCAAGTCAAGTGAGTACATGATGCGAAGAGAAGGAGGAAATGTCTCGGCTGAAGCATCCAGAAGCCGCTGCAGCTCAATTGAGCCCACTTCTAGGAAGGATTGATGCCAAATTGCTTAGTTAGAAAAGCTGCAACAATCATCAGAAGATATGTTTCCTGAACACTTCAAGAACAAGAGGGGCCCTGTGTTGGATCCGTGGCAATCTATATATGGGGTCGAAGAGGACGTCCACCAGAGGGCGTGAGCGATTAAAGATGGCAGCTCACCTTTTCTCCATGCATTTCTCAAAGCAGGTTCCTGCAAGCCTGCAGAGCAGCAAAAATGATATACAGCACAGGTTAAGAAGCAGCAAGCTGACACTGAACATACGAGGTTGAATTTACCAAGTTCCTTCCAAGGACAGATTGCCCTGCCTTTGGGCACACCGTCAGATCAGGGATGCTGTTTCACGCTGAGACTGATAGCACGGATTCTTACTTGTTGAAAAGGTCCACTCTGTATTCCATCTCCTGCTGCGCAACGGCAAATGCCTGCAGGGAGATGTGAACACCAAATAAGCGAAAGTCTCTTGAGTATAGACATAACAACCTATCACTGCAGGCGCCCGTCAAAGAGTCGTCAAAGGCCCGTCCCCCTGACATCACATACTAACTGTATAGTGTGCCCCTCTGCGCTTGTGTCGTCAACAGGCCCAATTGGCGGTGATATCCCCCAGGCCAAAATTGTGCTTACGCCTGACTGGTGCTGACATTATGGGCTGCCCCAAATGATACGCCCTCTTTGAAGTCACGGAAGCTCTGAGAAACATGAAGCAAGGGTGGCACTATCCAGCGGAATCCATTGCGTGTATGGAGAAATTGGGAGTCTGCATACTTTTTCACAGAAGTGGAGGTGTCCAATTCAAGGCCAGACATGTGTGCGCTCAAGAGACAACGAAGCCCGTGTTCACACAAGGATCCAGAAAGATCAGCTGTGAGATTGACCCTTCCGACGTTCTGGGAATCACGAAGAAGAGTCCATGCTGAAAATGGTGGTATTCACAAAGTTGTACAAGGAGACCTGATATGACAAGGAGCCAAGTGCTAGCGCTAAAAATTTGTATAAGGATCACACCGCCTGTCAGCGCCTCAGCGATGTACGAGGTGGTGTAAGCAAAAAACGCACCTGCTCACGGTTAATGCCAGAGGGCGAACCCGGCATTGCCGCCATTTCACTTACCACCTTTAAAAACAAGGGGGGACGATAATTTGGATTGACTAACAAGATTTCAGCAGGCGTCCCCTCGATGGAGATGTTGGCAGTGGTTTAGAGCACTTCCCGCTATGGGCTGCTTCCAAACGAGGGGATCCGTGTATCAGAGCTGTCAACAGCTGCAATTTGTAACAGTGGCAGCCCGTGTGCAGAAGCAATAGTGCTGTTTTTGAAAAAAGGAATTCTTGAGAGCTGCAAAACTCCACCAAACTGCCCAGCTTGGAGGACTTTTCTCTTGAAGGTCTGCGACGTGAATACTGCGCCCCTGCAGGTTGTACCATCAGATGGCTAAGCCTACAGCTGCAGGCAGTGCAGCTAGGACTCCGATCCTGCCCTACCGCCAGCTCATGGGCTGACCAATAGTGATAGCCTCGGATGACGCTCTGAGGGGGTGCCTTCATCCTTGCTTCATCGGACCATCCGATAAGCTCTGACTGGACACCCTTAACTGATCGACGGCTAAGAAGAGACTTGGGCTAACCTTTCACAGAGGGTCTAAATAATGGGTGGTGCAGCAGACTTCGTTGCTGCGACTTGGTGATCCCCCCGCACGAAAGACGGGCCAGCATCAAATTCAATTGCCACAAAAGTTTTGGCTGCTCAACACGCTCTCAAGACGCCTTGTGAAAGTTTTGGCAAGCCTCTTTAAACCGAGTTCAATAGCCATTGCCAATAGGTTCTGAATCTTCTAGCCTCCTAAGTTGCTCGTGCGTGATCCGTTTTACAATCAGCATAACCCGCAAGCTGTGGCAGCCACTCTCCTCTTGCTAAAGTTGCCGTGTTGGTGCCTTGGGAAAGTCACGCAGAACTTTATCATACAGGCTACGTTTTGAAGATACGTCAGGAGGATCTTAGGTTGGAAGTTCAAAAGAACCATAGAAGATGTCAGGAAGACAAGGCAAGTGCTTTGAGGTTGTTCACTGACTACCTGCTGACTCTTGCAGTTATCTTTTTATACGATTACTTTGTCGCATAAAGATTGAGGTCAACACCCGTCACCTTTGAAGTTCTAGATGGGCAAAATAGGAGAACATTGGTCCATGTGGTAGCACCACCATCCCCCTGGTAAATTGTTTCGGAGGGGTCATGCTTTTGTCGCCAAGTTGGTTCTTAGGTACACCGGGGCAGTGGTGGGATGGGTCATTGGTTTCAGCAAAGTCCCTACTTGTTGACAGTGATTCTTTGCATACAGGAGGGAAGGCAAAACCCCTGAAGGCGCCAAAAGCTAAAGACAAGGATTACGATGAGGTATGTAAGGAACTTCGTTGGCTTCTTCGGGACTTTGCTTGGATGGGAAAAGTGCGTGTCTCCAATTCGGGTATGGCGCTCATCTGTCGGCTGGATTCATGGTTTGGGTTTGATTGAGGAAGACTGAGCATAAGGGGAAGTTTTCCCGCTTGCAGATGGACGTCGAGTTTCTGAAGAAGAAGAAGGAGGAGCAGGCGGTGAGTTGAAGCCTCTTATAACAACCCGAGGCACTACTTCCTTGTGATCACGATGCCCATGGACACAGAGAATTTTCTTAGGTCCTACTCAGTATGGCTGATATTCAATTTATGTGCCGCACACTAAGCCCCGTGATTATGATTTGAGAAGGTGGGTCAATGTCAAGTTCATGCGCAATTGGGGCACCATGAAGTGTGCTGGGGTGTTTGATGTAAGGCCTCGGTGGTGTGCGATGTCTACGCTTAATTCTATTCTGACGAGGCCAGGCAATCCAGCAATAAGGGCTAGTTGATGCTTTGTCTTCGTCTAAAAGTTAGACCCATTGGCATCAGCACTCTAACATGCCTGGTTTCAGTATTTTTCGTGCCACTATGTAACTTGCAGGCCATGAAAGCCCTGAAAGAGAAAGCAGCTGGAAAGGTGAGCAAACAGTGCTGTTTCGTGCCTCGTCTGCAGATCCGCATGCTTGAACCCCTCTGGCTTGCTTTGCCCGTAGGGCTGGTGTTTGGAACAGTCAGCTGTCTTCCTTCTTGTTCTGCTTCATGTCATTTCACAACCATATTCTGGTGTTATACAGGGCCCCTTGACAAGTGGTGGCATAAAAAAAAGCGGGAAGAAGTAGCATTTTAGGCATAGTACACAGCCTTTGCTTTCGCTTTGCAATCATCATTTGGAGGCAAGGTCACAGGATACCATTGTCCCCTTGAAGAAGTATGGGCCAAATTATAACTTCCGGGGCTCCTTGCTAAGTATTAATCATTCTTACCTTGCTTGTATATGAGCATGGGACCCATGTTGGATATGCAAGTCTTACCGACGCAAAATTGCATCAGCGGTTAGGCAATGTTCAATTGTTCATCATGCTTGCAGAACATGCTTACAAGCTACGCCATGTCCCGTGTATCATGTTTTCTCAGATATTGGTTATGTTCCTGTACTTGCGGATCCACATTGCATATGCACGAACAATCACGAACCAACCATTTATGTCATCAATCAGTCCAAGAAGCAGTTGTACCAATTCTCATTATTTGGTCCTAGGTTGCATGATCTATGCGTATGATGAATGGTTGCACGATCGATGTGGACAATGATGCTTCATTTCAAAACATGAATACGGAGATAAGGTGGCCATCACGCACCTTGACCTGCATTCGTAAAATGATCATCTGATCCACTCAAAAGCACAGTGTTCTCCCCTACGAGCCGCCGCGGGTCCATCTAAACTCGGGAGTTCCTAGGCCTGAAAAAACTTACGGTACACAATGCCCTGCACGAGTGCTTTGATGAGTGCCAGCTTCCCAGAAGCGCTACTCTTTCTTCTTCGTGACCTTGATGGTTCCGCTTGATCTCCTCCTCGGATCCGCAGATGTGCCCTGTGAACATAAACCGCAGCAATCAGCTCGTGCAGAAATGCCTACCAGACCTAGGCAAAGCTACTTAATCGTATCGATTTTGCAGCAGTGGAGACGCAAACAACGAAAATGCGAGGAAGCTGCCAATTGTTTTCGAATGATGGATGATTCTTTGAGATGTTGCAAGTATTTGAGGATTGTTTCCATGAAAACGCCCCTACACTTGAGCTGCTCTTATCCGAAAGTCATCTTGGAACAGGATTCAGGATCGAGATCCTCATGGACCCGGATACAGCTCCGACCATACCATGCAAGGCCAAGTCGGAAGAGGAGACGTACCTTGAGCCATTCGTTGTCGCTCGCATCAGAGCGTGTGCCAGTCTCCACGACCTTTCTACGACCACCCTTCTTCTGCACAGTGTCCAAGATCATATGAGCCCTTTTTGAGATTCGATCACGGGCCCATTCATTTAGGGACACACGCATGCACTGGCCTCGTCAGAGCAGAATCTTTTGGTTCACCATAAGCCACATAAAGCAGCCCTGAACAAGGTGCACAAGACCGCCAAGGCCACTTTATTCTTGTGATGAGGAACGAAGTCGCGGCCCGGCCCGGGTGCTGACCTTGGTCAATTTCTGGACCTGGCTGTAGGCCCAGTAGCCCAGGAGGCTGAGCAGCGCCAGTGCCAGCAGTGCCAGGAACGCGTTCTCGCCGGATAAGATCCCGCTCGGCTCCACCACCTCAACAGTGCCGTTGTAGAACACGTTGCTGTGCACAGCGCCGTCGCTCTGAAGGAGAAGTGGGTGGAATGTTGTATCAGCACGGAGGCGTTGAACTGTGATTGGAACCCTGCTGAGTGTCTGGTGTGCCTTACCGGATTGAGCGCAGGAACCAAACAAGCGAAGGGACGAAGAGGGACTGTAAGGATTCCTCCCCGCATCCGGCTGGAGGAGGCGTTGGGGCCAAAACAACGAGGGAGTGATGGTGCGACTCGACTCAGGAGGCACCAAAATGAGCAGACGAAGTTGAAGACGAGCAATTGAAAAAGCGGTGGTAGCTTCAACGTGATTCTGAGGACCGGAGAGGGGAGGGGGAAGGCCACAAATCTGATGTCCCGAGGAGCAGATACACAGGGAAGATGCTTGTCCTGGTTTGCTCGAATCTAAAAAGTGGAGGTTTATTGGTATCTAACGGACTACTTCGAACAATTTCTTATAACGTTGACAAAAGGAGTGTCGCGACAAGATCGGAGTAATGCAGACAATAAGCAGAACCTAGTGACAACCTGTTAAGTACTCAGTGCACCAATCGAGAGATCCGCTCAGAATCTGTCAAAAACAGTCCAAACCATTATAAGCACCCACAGTACAACAATTTCTTCCAAGCGGCCAGAGCTATCACCACGGTGACCTATAGGGGAAGAACGCAAAACAATCGATGGCTGTTGACTTACCTCGTAGTAGACAGCCGCAGTGAACCCGAACTCGTGGGGCTGCACATACAGAGAGTTCACACTTGAGCCAAGAGTAACACCCCAGCCCTTCGCGTACCCGATCTATGGAATGCAATTTAACCATCCGACAACAGTGAGGACTGAAGAAGGCCATATGGCTTAGCACTTGGGCGAATCGAGGCAGTGTTGCAACACTAAGAATCACATACAAGCACGCCGGATAGAATCATCAGAGTTTGGGAGTTGGTGCCCAAAGACTGTTCACTGTGTGGATTAGCTGGACGAAGGACCAATAGCTGTCTTCGCAATCTGTTTCTCTTCTTTCTAAATCTTGGAAGGAAAAGAGCTAGATATTGGCTGCTGATAGTTCGACGTGCAAAGGTCCCAACCGAGCAGGAGAACCGTATGCGTTTGCTTTAGCTGGTTTTGTACTTGCCTGCAGGAGCTTGTGCGTGGCAAAAGTGTAGGCAAATGAGTGCTGCTCCCCAGGCTCCACAGTGGTGTCAAAGGGCTGCACACAGGCACAGCACTGATGTCAGGGCTGGTTGGCCATACAGACAGCTTTACAAGCAGGTCCTGAATGTCAAGAGCGGAGGTAAGTTAGCATACAATGATTGGCAACGATCCCAAACAATGTTCCTGCAGTGCCTGTCCACTGGTTGGAAACACCGAAGAAGCAGAACTACTGAACATGAAGTCTTCTGGGAAGAAGTCTTGAAAGAAGAGTGTGGCATCAAAGAGGCAGCAAGACATGGGCAAACACCTACAGGCAAGCCGACGCCGAAGAAGCCAGCCATGACACATGTTGAGGGGGATAAATGTAGTAATGGGCTTACGAATTGCGTGAAGTTCTGGATGACCTGGCTGTAGTCACGTGAATACGAGAGGTAGCCGGCAATCATCTTCACAGTGATGCTAGAGTCCCCTGCACAGCGCAAGCGCGGCTTGCGTCAGAAAAGTAGGCAAGTCAGGAGAGTGCTCTCAGGAGAGACGCATTCTTGCAAGGTGAGACGCAGCAGGCCAATGCGGCAGCTAGGCATCTGCTCACCGTTGTTTGCCAAACCCACAAGCAGATCCACCGGCGCTCCCGCTGGTACCTCTGCACAGATGACCAATCCAGTGCTCAGCAGCAAGGCACAGAAATGCACCACGGAATCATTCCAAGTGCGCTTCAGCAGCCAGAAGCATACTGTATAACTCCGAAAAGCTGGCGTTAAACAGCTGTGATTGCAACCTTCCAAATACACAGGATTTGTGTCTGCAGACACTATCAAATCCGCTCCTGTGACAGACGCACCTAAGTTGAAATGAACCACTTACGGCGCTGGACGTTGTTTGGAAAGACGAACACAGTTTCCACCCCTGGCAGGCCCTCAGGGTACATTGTTATTGTCTGTGGTTGCACTCTCTCGGGTGGGGCTGTGACCTCCTCCTCCATGGGAGGCAGGTCGACCTCCTCTTCATCGTCCTCATAGACATCATCGTCGTCAACAGCAGCTGCGGCTGGAAACGAGAACGAATGGAAATCAGACAAATGCGCATCAAGATGCAAAGCCTTACAGCTGGTGGTAGTTGTAATTGACCGTGTTAACGAGCTTGCCTTGCTCCCGTCTGGTAGTGCTCATGTTTGAGGACCTGGAGAGCTCTTCGCATGATACTCAACAAAGCACATCAGCAATCAATGACGATTGAATTGCAAGTAACCAGGAGGCAAAGGGGTGGACGCTTGCTGCAACCTACTGCGGTACAGCTTAGACGATCAGTTGCGCTCGTCCGCCTAATGAGTGGTAGTCATATCTCCTCATAACGGTCATACCAATTGAGCAGAAGGTACCAATCGATGCAAGCAAATCCGAAAATCAGATTCTTCAAGCGGCCAGCAACGACCCATGGGAACCAACCAGCTCCATCAACGATTGCACATAACTATCATCAACCGCCTCCCAGCTTACTGGTGCACCTGCTCAAGCCCGATTGTGACCCGCTTGCTGATTGAAAGATCGCAAGCCTCTCAAGCTCAAGAGGCTCAGATTGTCAAGACGCTCGATCTGGGCTAGGGTACGAATAAAGCCATTCACCAACTGCTCTGATTCTATTGGCGGCTTAATACTGGTTATAATCAGCATGATATAAGCTGACTTGCTTCTCCCTGGTGAAAAGGCTGTGATAAAAATTGCGCAGCAGCTCATTGAAAGGCTCAATCAGTGCTGTCAGAACAAATCACTGGACGCAGCCATATTCCAGAAAAAAAAAGCACTGAAGCATTGCCCTTCGACCGTCACAAATGCTTACCACGCAGCACACAGCTGGAGAGCAGCAAGCTGGCAAACAGCAGCGCCCAGAACGTCCACTGCTTCCTAGACGCCATGGTCGCGGTGTCGGCTGAAATGCAAGGCGAGCTGTGAAGCTGAGCCTGAACTTGATTCTTGAAGGCTGCAGTGAACTGCCTAGCGCCGGCGGCCCAATCCGTTGAGACCTGAGCCTGAGGCTGAGGACTGCGGTACCGGTACCTACTGGCATGCAGATTCCAGATCCTTAGATTCGCGTAGAGCAATCGAATGCATCCAATATAGACCACGTGCCCCTGCAAAGGTACCGGCAGTGACAAAGTAGTCGGAGGGGCAAGGTACCGGAGCCTCCCGGTGCCGTTAGAGGAAGACGCGCTGATTGGTCGAAGATTTGACAGATGAAGTCGACGGCTCTGCTCGATCGAAGCAAGCTTAGATAAAAGCTACCCCAGCAGCACGAAAGAGAAGACTCCTGAGTCATTTGAATCGCGCGATCGGAAGAGCTTTCGAGGCGCCATTGGCGCTGCTCTCTGAAACAGATCCTTTTTGGGCAGCATTGCGTAGATAGTGTGCATGAGCTCACGGGAGTGGGTCGCAGTGGGAGGGGGACACAGGGCACCCGCAACGGCACTCCACAAGCCGGCGTTCCAGGCCAGTGACATGCCTAGCATTTGATGGCAGAGATCAGACTGCATTGGAAAGGGGAGAAGAATTCAGCACGTGTCTTCCGAAGCAGATATTCCTCAACGTGGGCAGGAAGACTTTCAGCTATGAGTTCTTTGCGTCCTTTGGACCTGCACTACTTGATTCTGTGAAGGAGTTTGATGCACAAGCAGAGGCTGCAGGTTTCCAAGACTACTTGTTCCTGGAGTCACTCGAAAGGTTCCTGCAGCTCTACGACCTGATCTCGAGCGAGGACGTGAAAAGAGTCTCGGAGCTCTTGAAAGAAAGGCTCGCGAGAACGCAGGCAGTCTACAGAGCAGAAATGGTAGAGGCAAGGCTAGCCAGAGCGGAAGAAAAGGCCAGGCTCATAGAAGCAGAAAACCTCAGGCTGAGACAGAGGGCAGCGGAAGCAAACGGAGAGAAACTGCTAGCGGTGACGGGATACGACTTTCTGCAAGAAGCTCCCGGCTGGTGCAATCAGGCTTACCGCGGAAGACAGAGATCTGATCAGGACGTTGCAGAAGAGAAGCACTGATGCGGTAGTCAACTGGAGGGCGCTTGCGGAAAGTTCTGGCTTCTCGACCAAGCAACTCAAGAGTCTGGGGAACTCTTTGGTCACGTCTCGCATGAGAGCTGTCACGTTCGGAGCACCTGCTGAGAGCGCGTCCAGCCAAGAGCTGCCTGTCAGAGAACAGTCTCCGGAGTACGCTACGCCACCTGAGTCGCCCACTTCAAGCCAATAATGCAGAGGTTCAGAAGATTAGAGGAGGAGAAGAGGTTAGTAGAGAACCTGTGCACGATTGTGGGATCAAGAAAGTTCGTGGGTTTCAGGTTCAAATGTAAGCCGCCGGGAGAATTAGGCAAAGTGTTCGTTAAAGTTTTGGGGGTCTCGCCAGCAACGGGGAGATTTGAGCTGCAGGCGTTAGAATCGGCCCGGGTACGAAGTTCGACGACGTGCCGGCCGGAGAGCTTTCGATCGGAACGGGCTCCCGCAGGGAAGGGGATCCCCTGATAGAATTGCTACGAAGCAACGGGATGCAGGACGAGCCTTTTATGCAGAAGTCGGGACGAGTGCGCAGGGAAGAAGAAGGCGGTGGTTTAGAAGGCCAGGAAAATCCTCGCGCAGGAGAACGGGAGAGAACACCAGCGGAGAGAAGGGGAGAAGGGGCGCAAGGAGAAGAAGGAGGGTTAGGGTTTAGAACGCCAGTGGGTTCCCTCGGTGACGACTAGGAGAGAGCGTTCGACGAAGGCGGGCGCAGGAGGTCACCGCTTTTCTTCCAGGAAGGCAGAGTCAGGACTCTCGGTTGGCAAGGCGGCAGACAGTTCACACTTTATGTGCATCAACCAGCACCTAACCCAGCGCCCCGGTTTGGACAGAACCCAATTCCACCCCCTTTTCCTCAACCGGGGCTGGGTCAACCGCAGTTCGCGCCCCAGGGGTTCGGACAACCATACATTAGGAACCCGCCGGAAGCGATGCCGGCACCAACACCTTTCCAGCCCCCAGGATTCGCACACTTCCAACTGATTCAACCTGCCGTCCCAGTTCTCCCTGTCGGACAGCTGGGGCAACGCCAGTCAGACATAGAAATGCGCATCGTTGAGCTCGAAAGACAGAACAGAGCACGTGAGGATAGAATGCAAATGCAAACCCAAATGCGGATGTTCGGCGCAGCGATTAACCCGATTTCGCATCCCGGGTGTAACGATTACGACTGGTTAAGTCTAACCTCGTTTTCGACAGGATTTTGTTGACCGCGACTTAGCGAAACGGCGGTGGTTACGTCTTAACGACGCACTGCGCAGCTGTCTGCAAGACGGCGTAATATCCCGGATGGATCGGCCTCAGTGAGCCGATGTCACCGTTCAGGATAAGTTGCGTTCGGCTTCGCCGTTCGATGCAGCCAAGCTTATCTGTGTTCTGCACAGCTTGCGTGGCTGGTCTTGTCAAAGGTAGTGGACAAGAGAGAGCAATACGATTGGCCGCATAATCCAC